GGCCTTAAAATTAAGATCTTTCGTAGCCTGTGTTACAGGCGCCCTCGGCGAGCGACACTTTCTCCGATTTTATTTCGCGGAGCTATCTGTAACACAGGCTAGATCTTTCGTACCCCAAGGGTAACCTCCTGTAGATACCATAAAATTCCGTAGGTAACAAAGAGTCACAAGCAAAGACTGTCCGCAATGAACAATAGAAATTCGATGTTTGCTAGTAAATCCAGACACTGGCAACAATTTGGCAGACAAAAACAAAGAAATGTAATCAACATTGCTCACACAAAAGAACCCCAAAGAATTAGTCCGAAGTGTTTTATTGTAGAGGACTGTTGGCTACACGGCGAACTCAAAAACAAAATACCCGTCTCGGTGTAAATACTCCACAATCATGTTTATTTCATTGATTAAATATTAAAATAGTATTTTCAATTGATGCGTAAACGCGACAGTCCCCTGTGACTCATTTTAAACAGAACTGATAATGCAAGAGACAGGTATAAAATGTCTTGACCATTACACAAAAATCGTGCCTTAGGGTGCACTGTTATGATACAGACCACCTCGCTAAAATACAAAGGCTGGAAGGACTTCCGCTGTAGTCTCCATGTTATAAACCGTCCGAATTCAATGATATGTTTTGTTAAAATATATAAATTTTTGGTTCCCTTCTTTTTTAACTTGCACGCTAATATTTCGAGCTTTTCTTCCATTCGAGCGATTTTGTTCATCTTGCAAGAAATACTTCAATTTGTATGACGCACCTTAAATATTCAATTAATTAATATTTCAAAGAGCAATGAGCTGCACTGAATTATTAAATGGCAGTCCACAACACGAAATTACGGCAGCTGTGATTTGCGAAGACTATTGATATTAACTTAAGATGGACCGCAAAAACAAAACAAAATTGTAAATCCCTTCGTAAAACCGTTAAAAGACTTGGGGAATATCTAACATAGATTGGATACAGTCCAACCAAGCTACCCGGCCACTTCGCTAACAATCACCAAAGTAGGCTAATTATTAGCCTGGGAGCAGGCTCACCTTTGAGTCACACCCGCGAGCGGCGACGAGCAAAGCGATCCGGCGGAAAGGAGTCTGGTGAAGAGGCGCCAAAAAAGTCACTTTCTCGTCTCGCGGCTTCCCCGGTCGATTTCGCGCTCGCGGCTACGCCGCGCGCGCTTGTGCTCCAACGTGACGCCTTCTCGCAGGCTAGCTAACTATAACTCTATCTTTCCTGTGAGTTTTTCATTCACTTTATAAGTCGAGTACCGACTCCTCCCTTATTTTGCTGATGAAGTTCAAAATACTTTCAGTTCGAGTCTTCAATAAGCAACAACACTAAATTAAAGGTGAACCTGTCAAGTTGTCAGTGTTTCACAGTATAAACAATCCTTGTTATTATTTCGTTTATCCTTTCATGTCTGGTACCATGAATTGAATTTTAATTTGTCTATTGCAAAAATGACTTAATATTCCCAGACACAACACGCAATGCTTACTTGCCCATTTGCCACACTCGTGTGTCTCGCTTTAAAATCCCTTATGGGATTACACTAACACCCTTAATTTAATTTCGTGGTCTGTGACTAATCTGGACCATTATTCCGAAGCTGTTCCACGTATGACGCTGGGAAGGCCCCCTCCACAGAGCCCGTTTTGCCAACTATCCAACCATTGCCTTCGTCTCTGACTTGAACGACAATCTGAGAGAACAAGGAAAGACGAAAAACCTATGAAAAAAATCAGCGGTTGTAATAATATATAACATGGTCGGTAAAGTGTAGTACATAGATATTTTCATTGACAATTTCGAACTTAAATGCTTGAGGTTCGCTTCCGGCGCGGCGTCCATTAACAATAACGGCCTTTCTCTTTACCATTCATTGCAAAGTTGCGCCTCCGACGGCTGTTTTAACACAAAAAGCCACTGACCTGATTTGCTTGAATCGTCAACTCATCTCCTTCTTGACCAGAAAAATCGAACAAACAACGAAGAATGACGTCATCACGGGAAATAACCTGCAAGAAAGAAACAGTATGCCAGACGTTAACAGAGGTTTTCGTGTTATTTGTGTACAGGATAAGGTTCCAAGAGACACGCTTTGATGGCATTTGAGCTAGGCCCATCAATTTATGCATACTCTTTTAACTTGAGCAGTTTGTGAGATACCTCTGTATGTGCCTTGTTGTCACAACAAGGGAATTGAAACACTGAAAACAGACGTTTGACTTCACATGCAATATGTTAAGAAATATTCATCGGATACTTCAGTTGTTCGCGTTTCAGATAACGGTGGAATGATTTTCGTATACTCAAATTTGAATGAAAGAATCACTTTTTTAAGTGGCCCGTTTCGGCATTTTTGAGTGGAAAAATCAACACCTCCAAGTCAAACGTGACATTCACTAATCAGATTCAAGAAGTAAAAAAATCAGACAGACAGACGGACGGGCGGACAGTCAGACAGACAAACAGACAGACAGACAGACAAACTGACTGACAGACAGGGACATTGTCCGTCATACCTGTACGTACGAAGCTGGAAAGAACCCCGTTTGACCTTTAGTTGAACCCTTGAGAAAAATACAAAGTGACATTAGTTTACTGAGCCTTAAAACCATAAAGGCGAAAGCCGCAGCATTTAACATAGTGAAACATGAGGGTAATTAGTTACTGATCACTCGGCAAAAAGGAAGGCTATGACCATCTTGATACCAGTTAATTTGACATCTGTAAACAAAGTCTTCTGCTCCGCTGTCAATAAAATTTTCAACGTAACATTCATAACGCCTCGTCTATCTTGATACCAATAATCTGAACACCTATACTACCTTAGTCGTTAATTTTTACACCTTTGTCTTTCTAGTGATTTCCTGCGCCCTTGTAGCACTTTAACTCCCAAATACTGACATTAGCACTCTAATCGCATGGAATAAAACCCACACACGATGAACGCGATGCGAACCTATACGTCGCGCAAGTACGCGATGCGGACCTATGGTTTTTTTTTGTTTTTTTTAAATTGAAACCAACGGTGACAAAGGGCTAACGCCTGACCCTTGAGCTTCACAAACTTGCTTCAGTGGTTAAAGTACCGTTTGAGTTAACAAATTTTACCATTTATAGTTCGTCTACTGTGATCGTCTTGGTGAGGGTAGTTGTGAAAAGAATGGTTGTTGGAAACTAAACGTTTGACGATTACACAGGAACAGCTAATGATACTCCCAGGTCAAACAATTTACTGTTGTACGCTGATAGATACACCGTCTGAAGATAGGTACGAGCAAAAGCAGGAACAAAAAAAAAA